GATCTGTTAGACTATTTGTGTGAGTTGGGATCCAATTATTGATTAGATAATTATTTTGTGATTGATAGATCGGGGGTTTTAGCGGGGCAGTAGCCAAAGATTCTTTCTGTGAGATTCAATGGTGTGAGGTGAGTTTCCTCACTGCATTTAGCGGGTCGAAGGCACCAATTCCGAGCCATGATCTGTTATGCTAGAATATTAGATATATGTGTGACTCTTGTATGTGTTTGTGCTGGTATGCTTACTGGGCAGGGCCCGATGGTTATTGTGTATGTTATTATCTATTATGCTTATATGATTTGTATGTAGGTGGGGCCCATTATATGAGTTTAGGCGGGGGCCGTTATGCCTAGTGGGTGGGGCCCGTTATATTTACGATGCAGGGCCTATTATGTGAGTGTGGGTGGGGCCCGATACACTCATTGGGCGGGGCCTATTATGTGATTATCTATGTATGGTATGTGGTATTTTGGGGAACTCACTAAGATTTGTGCTTACGATTTTCAGTTTATGTTTCTGGTTCTTTCAGTTCCAAAGGGAAGAGCTCGAGATTATTATAGAGCACACATCACTCGTTTCTGTATCTTTGTTATTTACTCTGATATTGAGGATGTATTGATACATTTGATAATATTGGTTTTATAACAATGTTTTGGGCTGTTGTTTTATTAATCTAAAAATGAAAAAAAAATGTCGTATTTTTGGGACGTTACAAGTTGGTATCAGAGTCTTGGTTTGAGGGATTTAGACATACTCTCAGGTGTGTCAGAACTCAAACTGAGGGTTTGGTGAAGTCTTTTCAAAAAGAAATGTTTTTTTAGAAAAAGAAAAAGGTATTTTCTAATACAAAAAGGATGTGGTGCATGCAATTGATCGAGCTCATGTAAGTTTTTCCTAAAATACCCATACATGTTATCTGATATGATTTAATTTACGAATCTGTGAATTACATGCTAGTTAGGGCTACATCTCTACTCGGTGTTTGCATAATAGAATGCTAGGAGAGATGCCTTGTATGTCTATTATACGAGATCGTAGACTTTCATGCTAGTTCTGATTAGTTAGTGATAAATTAGCCTAATATATGTTGCATTGTAGCCTAGGAAGCATGGGATGCTAGTTTAGGTAGAATTTGTATGCGTAAGGGAATCCGCAGCGAGAGTGGAAGTTCCTAGCATGAGTTGTAATATGTGGGATTGGATGCTCTTTGCTTATTCTATGGATTGGAGTGCTACTACACAAATGCTTCTTTCTTTGTGCTTTATAAAACTCTTAGGTGATAGGAATTAGCTACTACGTGAATATGTTATGACACATATGATAAAGGTTGAATAATCTCAGAGTGGTAGATTTAACCCTATTACGTAACTCTTATCTGAGTCCAACCATTAGAGGGATGAGTTTGTTATTCAAAGGATTTTCTAAGCTTTGTTGCATGTGATTGTATTCATGAGGTGGGTAACTGACATTATGGGGATTTCTTCAGCAATTGATGGCAGGGTGAGGTTGGGAACCTAGGAAAGCCTTGGAAGTGCTTTGGTGGGTTTAGTTGCGTTGTTTTGTGATAATGTGGAGTATTAGTTTAAGAATGTAACTTAGAGAATTTTGCATGGTTCTTGAGGAAAGTATGGATAGGTGTGGAAGATAGTATTGGACTCATACTACTGAAAGCACAGGATCCATACTCGAATCGGGGAAAGATTTGAAGAATATAGGGAGCCTTTGGGATGAGGATTCTTGGGTATGTTTTTATTATGTGCATGTTGTTTTTCTATTTGGTGATAAGCTATCAGGAAGGAGGTTCGGGTTTAGTTTTAGGCTCATGTATAGGTATTGAGCTCATCGATCAACGCATGCGGGAGTTCCTCTCATCAGAGATTACTCACATTATTTTGGGATAGACTCCTGTGATCTTTGGTTCAGTCAAAAAAGGGATTTTGGAGCTCTTGGATGGTCGTCTAGGGGCTTTTCAGTACGAGATTATAGCGGGGCAGTTAGGCGCTCATTTGGATCCTAAAGCTTGTGGAGCCCTAGAATCCTTCATGAATGAGGATCCTATTGTTAGTTCTTGTCATTTGGGATCGAAGGTGGGTTATGCACCATGTTTTCATGAGGGTTGATCCCATGATTGGATTGCCACAGAGGTTTCACGAGCATTAAACAAGGAGTTACCCAACATTATTGGGTGTCTCACTGATAGATTAGTTGTCGGTTTCAGGGGTTTAGACCTTTGTTTTTCAGACGGATGATGGGATGGTTAGGGTCCGATAGAGAGACCCAAGATTTCAGATCAGCGATTGAGGGGCCAGTAGGGTCGGGGTCAGTACAAGATGTGCGAGAAGCAGCATGATGGGGTTTATCATTCTAGGGGCATGGGCTGCTACAAGTGTGGAAGGGTTAGCCATGTCAATCAAGATTGTCCTCAGGGGGCAAGCCCGCTATGTTTTCATTGCAATCAAGTGGGCCACAAGAAGGCCGATGTTCGATGTTGAGTGGTGGAGCAGTGAGTGCACCTACTTCGCTTACTTTGTGGATCTCTGGTGGTCGTGAGGGTGGGGCATGAAACCTAGCTATAAGGAGCTGAGTATTGCAATATCAGTTATGGTAGGCAAGGGTTGCATCAGGTGCTTTTCCAGGTATGTTATCTTTGCTTTCTTCTTGATTATTATCAGAATTTTTATTGATATGGTATTTTGTATTAGTTAGGTGTTGAGTCAAAAATATGGTTTATACTTTGCTTTTTTAAGAAAATATATTTTTCTGTAATTTTGTGGTTGTGTACGGCTGCACATATGTGTGCAGTCGCACACCCTGTGTACGGTTGCACACGCGTGTGCAGCTGTACACTCGTGCGCTACTGGTTGCCCATGTCTCATATATCTAGGGTGAGGAGTGTAAGGCTAGAAGAGAGAGAAAAGGAGGAGCATGTTCTAGGGAGAGAAAGTTAGAGAGAAAAATAGTGTGTGTGTGTGAATCTATGTATATGGAGCATCACTCAGTTTATTGAATACATCATTAGATTCATCTTAATTCTTCTTCTTATTCTCTTCTATTTGATCTGACATCATCCAATTGATTGAGATTCCGCACCATCAATTGGATCTGATTGATACACAAGCAATTACGGGACTTACAATTGGTATCAGAGCTTGGATTGTATCAATAAATTTTATCAGATATGGAGCTTATTTGATCTTATTTTTAAAAGATTTTTGCGTTTTTGGATAGATCTCTGAAAAATAGGGGGGGTTTGTTCTTTGCATGTTTCATAAAAATGAGTTTTTGATCGTGTTTTAGAGCAAAAAATGATGAAAAATATCGTTTTTTCGTGAATCTGTTGAAGGTGTGCGACCCTCAGTCAGCCTATACTTAAAAAAAAGTGTTTTTTTGGAGGTGCCTGGATTTGAACTCCGGATCTCTAATTCTTCAAATCAACGTCTTACCAGTTGAGCTAATTAGGAACACGTTAAACATCTCAATTTTTTTAATCATATAGCTTCACAGTAGCATGCTTGCTTAAAAAAAAGGGGGGAAGGTTTTTGGGACTGCCGGCTTTCCAACTTGGGTCACCTGTTTCATCACCCATCGCCTCTACCAACTCATCTAAGCTGCGAAATGATATCTTTCTTCCAAATTTAATTCATAAAGACTCACTTCTGCAATCTAGTTTCACATTTTTGACATTTAAAAAAATATCAATTTCTTTTTATTTTAAAATTCTATTTTCTTCCAAAATTTTAGTTTTTAAATTTTGTCTTCTATCTTTGACTTTTTGCTTAATTTTTTATGTTGACTTTTAAATTTTGACCTTTGACTTTAAACTTTAATTTTCTCGTTTAACTTTTAAATTTTCAAATATAACTTTTCGGTTTGACTTTTTAAATTTCACTTTTAAGGTTGACTCTTGAGTTTTTAGTCAAAGGGCATTTTTGAAAAAAAAAGAGTTCCTCAAAGAAGGCATCGTGACTGATTTTAGACCTTGTTCAAGTACGCGGGGCGTAATTCTAGTACGTTGGGCGTACGGGCTCCTCGAAGTTTGTGTCTAAACTTCAAAAATTCATATATTTTACATATGAGCTCCGATTTTTACGTTATTTATATTCATGTGTAGAAGAAATTATACTCTACAACTTTCATTTAGACTCCGTTGGCTAGTTTTGAATTTATTTTTAAAGTTATATTTTAACAGGTCGGGACAGGAAAAATCCGTTAAAAAATCATAACTTCTTCATCCGACATCCGTTTCTGTCTGTCTTTTTACCGTTGAACTACAATCGACAAGATCTTCGATTCTTGTTTAGATTGTGTCGTCTGAAAATCACTCGATCTATAATTCAAATTTCGAGTTGTACACTGCTATGTCGAATCTTAGAAAAATCATAACTTCCTCATACGAAGTCAGATTTGGACGTTCTTTTTATGAAAGTTCTCGGTTTAACGAACACTATGAATTTCATTTAGATTACTAAAGCTAAAAAGTAGTTTTGTCATAAACTCACTTTTTACATCATAAGGCGATCTGTCGATTCTGTCGCGAAACTTCGATAAGTCATAACTTTTTCGTTATAACTCGGATTTCAGTAAGGGTTTCGCATAAAATTTTCTAATGAGATAATTTACAACTTTCAATAACATTAGTTTTACTTATTTCCAACTTAAATTTTACATGTTCATTAATTTCGATAATTGACTTTTTGATCGGAATCTCATAAGACTTCTCATCACTTTTCGAATGATTCTAAACATAATTTTACTTCAAATATCATAAAACTATCTTGTTAGAACTCAACATTCAAAACCATATAATATTTAATAATATTCGTTTTTAAGCTAACAAGCTTATAAAACAAGATAGCTAAATAAGGTTATTAACGTGTATGTTACAGAAGAAGAGGAAAGCTCCCTCAAAACAGAAATGGAAGGGAAAGTCCCATGCAAGGTCCTCAAGCATTGGACCCAAAAGAAAAGCCAGTTCTGATGCTCCGACTGCTTTTGACTCT